TGATACATCCTACGCTGGTTGATCAGCTCCGCGCGCCTGGCCGCATGTTTATTCCTGTCGAGTCTGGGGGGGAAAATGGAGTGGGGTCGTTTGGCCTGGGTGGTGGCACGCAGAATGTGTGGGTTGTGGATAAAAGTGATGATGGCAGCGTGGTAAAGGAGAAGGTTTTTGGGGTGAGTTATGTGCCGTTGACAGATGCACCGAATGAGAGGGTGTGATGGCGTCAAGCAATGTGAGCGATGAATAATTCGGTTTTCATGTCTCACTCTCCAATTATATTTTTATGTATAGCTTTTATTATTATATATCGTGTTATTAATCCTTCAAAATTTGGTTATGGGAGAAGGGGTTTTCTTATTCGGCTCGCATAACGAGTGGAAACGAGCTAAAGAATTGGCCAACAGGAATTTTTTCTTGTATTATGTGTGAGACGTCGAAGTCGTTGTATTAGCATGTAGGCAGCTGAGGCATATATGTGCGGTGCGCTAGTCCGTGATAAGCAGCCTAGGGCCAACAAGTACTTACTGCATGGCGGAGATCTTTCACAGGGAGAGAAGTGATCAGATGCTTCAGCTATCAACAGTATAGTTATATTACAAAATTCTGTCACGAGAAACAGATATTTAATTACTGTGAGAAAAAATTCACAATAATAAAAGCTATTCAAATATATTAAAAAGAAGTAAGTTTAAATATATTAATTACAATGAAAAATACTCTATCTGATACTCAGAATATTTAAAATATAAATAAATAATAAAAAATCACAATAAATACTTGAAAATAAATTCAAAATATTTGAGATATCAGTGTTAAATTTAAATCAATAAATCACTGTATTCAGAAAGTATAACAAATTTCAAAAAAAAAAAAAAACTGTAATATTTTCACTTATTATTTTCTTATATTTTTGTTTATTATTACTTTTTATTATTATATTCTCATTATCATTATTTTTATTTATATGTATCTTTCAGACCTGGTGATATATGTATTTTGATGAATGTGCAGCTAAGACTTCTTCTGATTGATTGGCAATTGACTTGGCGTTTGAGAATATGTAATTCTTTAATTAA